ACGTGACAATAGTCTAATTTCGTTAGACCGATTTTACGTTACCGATATTAGAGAGAAGGAATTCTATGAGGAAGTTTCAAATATTATTTTTGTTTGAATAATTAAAGTCGAACCAATACAAGTATATAAGATAACGAAAGCTGTAGAACTTCAAACATATCGTTCTCTATTGTTGAAAATATATATCCATTCAAAGAAGATACATTTTTTAAAGTCGATCTATTTACTCTGAAAAAAAAAATACCTTTTGTTCTGCGTGGGAGTGCAATTAAAAAATTCTGTCTTTTAAAAATCGGAGACGGAGGAAAGGGTTTTGCGTCCGGATCAGTGCGGCATGCTAAAAATAAAAATTCCCGCACGAAGCTCCCGTCGTTGTTGCTCGGAACCCTCTGTTCGTCCCTCACGGAGAGAGACCTCACGCGTTTCTCTTTAGTGCGTGACTCAGCAGGGCCGAATATACGCCTCGAAGCCACCCTCGTTGTAGCCTCCCCTCTATTCCTTTGCCGCCGCCGCTCTTCCCATCAGGTCCCGTCCACCGCCGGTGCCCGAATGCAACCAGGCGGCGAACCCTGGCGCTTTCGACACAGACACAGACACACACACGGAAGGTAACGCGCGCACGTACTTTCATTATCGAGGCAAGGGCGATGATAATAATCAAGCGCTGCTGCCTGGGCCGCGCTAAGGGCTAGGCCGAAGGGCGCGCAGAGCGATCTTATATATATCAGCATCGAATACCATTACAAAGAGCGATTGTTAACGGATGTTACTTTTTCTTTATCTCGTTTCAACGTCGATACTCGCGCGGAATAACGTGTGATTGATTTGACACATCGCTTAAAATATATAGACGCATTCTCCAAAGTTTCAAAGATAAAAAGTGTCTAATTGATTCTGCTCGCGAGACACCTCGATTAAAATAGACGAAACTGAACGCAATAATACGGCCAAGTAAATTTCGTTGCAGGGATCGAATAAATTTCTTTCATCCCAAGTTTTTCCGATAATGAATTTCTTCTTTTAGTAAACGTATCACGCAGCACCGTACGGCCGATCGATCGCAATTTATTTACGCGCTCTTCAATCAATGCGGTTTATTCGTAGCTGTCCGAACGAGGAGGAGAAGAGACGCGAAACCAAGAAAGAAAGAAAGAAAGAAAGAAAAAATGGGAACCATTAGCGAAGAATTCGCAGCGTTCGCCAAAAATGCAGAGGACCACGGGATCGTGTCGCTTTACCCGTTCCGCCTTGCTACTCTCTCCTCCGGTGAAGGAGGTCAACTGTTTTATTGGCTAAGGGTCGCGGCGCACGCCCTCGGAACCACGGTTTCGGTTAACCGAGCCAAACCCCCGAAATCGGAGCGACGAATTATCGCCTTGGTTAACCTCCGCGCGCGAGGACGATCTTTTTCCTTGTTCACGTCTTGCTACCTATTCTACGAATGTCCCGGTTCCCTTGTCCTCATTGATTAAAAACTTCCAGCGCAGCATTTCCCCGGATGCTCGCAATTCTCCCAACAAACGTCCTTGTTGAGCAACGTCATCGGATATTTAGCAAACGCGATTATTGTGTTCGTATGTTATATCTTTGCGCCGCATCATAGAAATTACGAAGAGTCTCTGATTGAATAGTAAATGCGCCAAGAGAAGTCAGTCTTGGATCTTTCTGCACATGCGCGTTGCACCATGTATAAAGAATAAATCCTAGGATTTCGATTAGATATTAAAAATTTACAAAGCTTTCTTTCTCCTTATATTTCAGCTCGCTCTTCTAAATTTATTTGAAAAAATAGGTGTTTTTTTACGCAAGCCGCACTCATCGCGAAAGATAGATAAGTGTAACGGTGATTATCGTGTTTTTCCCATTTTTATCACATATCAAAATTACGTGTCGGATCGCTATAGTCAACCTAATAACGCTGCAATTCGAGCAGCGCAAGGAAAGAAAAAAAAAAAGGTCTCCGCCGTCACACGCACGTGTGCTCGCACACACTCCATACACCTATACGTTATCCGCATATATAGCTGCGGCTACATGCCGGCGGGCCCGTGCTTGTACGGGACCTTTAGCGGCTCACAAGCCGCAGTCGGGACGATCAATGACAACCTCTCTCTCGCTGCGTCCTCGTCGCATTCACGTGACTAAGCACGGTTAGTTGAGCTTTCTCTCTCTCTCTCTCTCTTGCCTCGTAATCGCGAGAGAGAAGGACGGAGAAAACGACGTGGGGAGAACGAAGAGGGAGCATACCAGCGCTCCCTCTCAATCAAGATAGACGCGCGAGAGGCTTAGCACCGAGAGAGGAGGCAAACACGACGACGTCGGCGGCGTTTCTCCTCGCGAGGGGAGTAAGCGAGAACGTCTCGAAGCCACAGCCAACGACAAGAGGGGGAGACTTATACCGCTTCGTAGTGTCGGCGCGAGCGGGGGTGGGACGCGAAGGGAGAACGAAGGGTGCGAGAGAAGCACGAGGAAGGGCACCGGAACCGTAGCGAGACGGAGAAGAGCGAGCGGCCGATAGACGGCACATGGAGCGAGACAAAATGACTGGGGGAGAAGGAGAGAGCGAAGCGAAACGTAGAACACACACAGAGTAAAGGAGGAAGCGAGATGGACGGGAGAGAGGAAGAGCCGCGGCCTGTCTGTGCCTCTGCTTCGGAAAGTGACTAATGACTGGCCAGACCTACCTAACTCTTCTGCCACCCTCGAGGCGAGCGAGCGAGCGAGCGAGCGAAAGGGATCGAGTGGAGCGGAAGAGGAGAGAAAAGAAAAGCTCTTCTCTCTCTTCTCCGGAGAGTTATCGCGGTGGCGAACCTTTTCTCTTCGCCGTTGTTATCTCGCGGCTCTCGACGACGGTCAACCGTGAAAAATGAGTGTCGCGAGCGGGTGATATTTTGCGGGATGCCGTGAACGGAAGTGGAGTGGGAGAGCGAGAGAGAAGGCATGCAAAATCCCGTCGCGCCGCGCCGCTGCTCCGACCACCCGGAACTGTGAATCCCGATCGATGGACCGAGCGAGCGACTGCGAGCGAAGCGGCGGAATTCTAAGCGCGCCCGCTCTACGCGCTCTTCCTTTTCCGTGAGAAAGAGTGCCGCTTCGGCGCCCCACCGCGCGACGCGCGCAAACGCGAGGTGTAACTAATAGAACACTGCAATTTTTCAAGGGAGAAATAGTTGGACCAAAAATTCAAGATGCGTAATAATGATTCTAATCGATTCCGGAAATTCGAATTTTAACGATCCGTTTTTCGACGCGAGTTTCAACGAAATAAATCAAAAAATTCACCGACGATTTATCGATGTGGAAATATCGGATAAAATAACGCCGTAATCTCGCCGGCGATTTGGAAGAACTCGAGGGGAGGGCGATGTCTGATTTTTGTGAGACCGGATTGCGCAGTATGCTACGTTGAGCAAAGAAAACCGTGAAAGTGTCCGCCTCTCTCGCGATAGAGTGAAATGTAATTGAGCAACGCGAGGGAAAAAGTGTAAGCTAGGCGAGAGAGAGAGAGAGAGAGAGCGTGTGAACATCTCTCACAGATATACGAATGATAACGGGGCATCGTTCTGATAGAGACGAGAACTATAGTACCGTAGAGAATGAACGTTCGTGACAATATTTCAACAAATTATTTTTCTCGACAATACTCTAAAGAATTTCGATTTCGATGTGGAAACGCAAACCAATTTTATAAATTAAATTATCATTTCGTTTATCGGGTTATCCATAACCATGACCAGTTTAATCAAGACGTTCCGGCGCAAGTAAATCACGGGATATTCCCGGAATATCCAGCGCAGGCCCGATAGGGCGTGCACGATGACGTGGCGCTGTCTAAGTAATTTAACGCGTTATCGGATAGCCTTAAAGTAGCGTATCAGGCGTAGCAAGGAGAGGCGAAGCTCGAGAGAGAGAGATATTCTCTCTCGCAGGTTTCATTTTGCGCCGAAATCTCTGCGAGAGAAGACGCGGATGGAAAATCGCGGTATCAAAGAGAGACCCAGACGAATGGCGTGGCGCTCCTCTCTCTTTCCTTTCTTTTTTTTCTCCTCTTTCACTCCGACAGCTTGGCAAGGCTCCGGCAAGTGGATCGAAGCGCCGTTGCATCGACGTAAGTCTCTTCCTCCCTGCCCCCCTTCTCAGACGGAGAGCATCGGACGAGGTGGCGGCGTCGGCCGCGCCGTTACACGAGCGTATATACATAATTAGACGCAATTAAGCGGCCGTCTTATCTGCGCGCACGATGAGCCCTCTCTCTCTCTCTCTCTGTTGCTTTCAGAGCGCATGCCGCGCCCGAGATTTCTCGCAGTTTTTCTCTACTCGCCGTGAAAATAAACCCCACCGACTCGTAAACCTCGGGTTTCTCTCGGTAGGCCGCAGTCGCGGTGGGCTTTTTTTCCGCACACGTCGCCGCGCGCGCGGAACGACCAATCTGCGTGGATAAAAGCCCGAAAGTCAATTTCCCGGGAATAAGGATAAGAAAGTAGAATTTACGGGCTGAATATAGGACACAGCTTCGCGGAGCGACGTTATTACCGTTCTCCGCGCGCACGGTTAGCGCGTAAGAAAATTGTTATAACCGCTTCTTCTTTTCGCTCTGAGCATTTCTCTTAAGAGTATCACTTGAGAAAAGTACAGCGAACGATACCGCGGGAGGATATACGTGCGTATCGACATATGCAAATGTAGATGTTTAATTTTATTTAAATCGCTCGTCTGTTTCACGTTAAATAAGAGATACGTCTTGATACATGTATGCGAGTTTGCAAGTAAAAAGATTCTGCCAAATATATTCCCACCCGAAAATGCATTCTATCGCATCTTCTTTATTAATCTAAATCTAATTGCGACTCTTGGAAAGAAACGATGCGTTAAGCACCGCGTCTCTCAAACGATCTCTTAATCTAAATCTTCCTTCAACGAGCATTCGTGAGCTCTATACTCGAGGAAGGTTTCTCGCGATTACGGGAGAGGTAGGAGATAATCCGCATGAATGTACTCACCTTGTTGTGCGGCAGCTGCGTGGGCACGTAGAGCGGCGGATCCAATCCCGGGTTCGTGACAGCGTGACGTCCGATAATCCTGTCGGCCGGTTTTGCGTCGTAGCCTTCCGGCTGGCTGATATGGAAACCCTTGCTCTTGACCCAGAAGCGGAACTTGCTGTTCTCGGCGCTGTTCACTTCCTCGCCCCGCAACGTTCTCAGAATACGGGCGTATTTCTTGATGGTGATCGTCTTGGTCTTGGCCTGATCGCCGTACGTCCTAATCACCCACGGCTGATAAGCGTTGAACATGGTGTCGTTTTGGAATTTCCTCGGGGAAGCCGCGGCGGCCACCTCGGCTCCGTTCTTTTGCACGCCGTACGAACCGCCGTTGACATTCGGCGAGAACGACAAGGATATTCCGCTCTTCGTGTCTACGGTAGCGGAACCGTTCGCCGTGTATCCGCTGTTTAACGAGTTCGCGACGCCGGAAGCGGCCAAGGAACCGCCGGTCATGTTGGAAATGTCGAGGTACGAGACGGACGAGCTCTTGCCGAGGTTCGTCGCGTTACCGACGAAGGTCGCCATGGAGGTCGACATGTACGGTGGTATCGGTGTAGGAGGCATGCCGAGGCTTCCGGCGCACAGGCCGGCCGTTTGTCCGCTTGTCAAACCGAGCCCGGTCACGGAAGCGTACGCCGGCACGTCCGACATGCTTGACGTAGTCGTCCAGCTGGTCGAGAGGATGGTCGGTATATCGCTCGTCGAGGAAGAGGCAGCCGAGGTGGCAGCCGTCGAAGTGGACGACGACTTGGTCTGAGTGCTAGATCTCGAGACGGAAGTTCCGCGACTCCTTGAATTCTGGTTGTCGGTCGCGGTACTCGTGGTTGTCGAGGACGCCGAATTAGACGAAGTACAAGACGAACTACTACCACCTTTCGCTCCGCTCGTCGAAGTCCCGCGGGACTTCTTCGCTGGCGGCTCGTCCCGAGTGCCGCCGTTCATCGAGTTCAGATTACCGTGGGATGGGCTGTTGTTGTTCTCGTTTCTCGAGCGCTTGTTCGACGACGCACTCGTCGCGGTTGGCGACTGACTCGAGGGAGTCGGCGAGCTGTTCACCGGTGCTCTGCGACGCAGACCCATCATCGTCGTGCTGGCCATATTCGCGTTTGTTTATTTACGTGTCCCGAGTGTTCTGTTCTTTGTTGTTATCCCGCACCCGGCACATCGACACTGAGAGCGCACTACAAGTCACACCAAAGTCGCACAATCATCCGCGATCGCTCACGTTTGTCCGAGATCGCAACGTTTAACACCGTTTCGTCCGAGAAACGCCACGGCGTTTTTCTTCGTGGATGACGACGACGATGCTGCGCCTGGAAACAAAAGAGAGATGAAATGTGACGAGGAAAATTAGCTATGCGCAATTAAGCGGCGGAAACGTTTAAGCGCAAGGGCGCCGCTAATGGACTACTACTAGCCGAGCGGGTGGAGGCTATCGTCGGTGGGAGAAGTAGGTTATAGCTGCTCGGATATAATACGCGGCAGAAATTCACTCGGGAAATTGACTCCCGTCGCCTTCCACTTTCTGTCCGATAATAGACGCGCGTAAAAGAAAAAAAAAGAAAAGACTCGCCGCGAAAAACCCTCCGCTCTAATATTCTCGGCCAGATCCGATCGTTCTCTGCAAGCTTGCTTAATCAGGGCTTGTAGAGACATCAGCCTCTAGCGGGATCAGCCGAGTCATTTATTTTGAAAATAAAGTGAGCCAAATTTTAGAAATTTCGAAAATTAAGTTGATTCATCGGGACGCGCTTTCTCTTTTTTAATATGATGAAATTTTAATTGTGGTCACAAATAATGCAAAAAATATAAACTTTTCGACATCGCGCTTGAAATAGAAATCTCACGCTTCTTCACGTTTCAACTCTAACCGCATATGAAGAAATGGAAACTTTTCGTAAGAGCATTAGGACAGACGTTGACACAATTACCTAGCAACTTACACGACTTATTAAACAGAGGAACCGGTTAGTCGCAACGACCTTCCCTTTCGCGCGTGCGGAGCGCTTTTGCGCGAATGTCCGATATCAAACTAGAATATAACGTGACACGTGTCAGCTGAAAAAAAATATCCCGAGGATCGAATCGTTATTGTTCTCTACCTCCTGCGGCGACAAAGCCGAAAAAATAATGAGATATAACGACCTAAAAATGAAGCTACCCTTCATCCCTAGAGACACCCTCGATATCACGCTCTTCGATGAACGTTCTGGTTTATCTACAAGAGCCAGAAACATTACGACGATTCGCTCAAATCCATGCGTACACATATTCCATATATACACATATTCCATGCTGAATATAAATTTATACAGCAGAGCGTAATGTTCACGAAACCGCTGTAAATGTCTAAGCTCTCGTGGAATCACGTATTACGAATAAACGTGACCGAATAGAGTATAATACGCAATCATAGTGTCGAACCTATAGGAGAGTGGGAATTAATTCGATAAGGTCGATCGAAACCGTCCGGCCATCTTGCAGTTCGCTCCAACAGCCCCGAGAGTGATGCTTAAAGCATCCTTAGATGGCGTGAACTGGATAATCCTCGGAATACCAGTAGGTAGGTCGTCCCGCGATGGCGGATATTAAAATGAAATCTCGCCAAGTCGCGGAAACAGTCAATTCCATCGACGGCCTTGGGCTGCGTTAACGGGCAAATTGTCGACAATCGCAGGACACGTTCAACGAACAGGAATAAATGGGAATATAACTATTTCGACAAAGTTCTTCAAGATAGCAAAGGAAGCGGACTATACTGAGAATCATAGTCTCCTTGTGTATATAGGTACATAGTAAATAAAACAATTAATAAATGTATTGATTTTGATATTAGTCAAATCAAATTTCTCAAGCTAACAGGAATAATGAATAAATAAAATTTATAAAGATTTCATTTATATTCCGCGTAAAATATTTACGATAGTTTTTAAAAATTAGAGAGTTAATATTAAAAATTCGCTTTTATATATATTCACGATAGATAGACTACTTGTTCGGAATAGTTGTGCCTATAATTGTGATTGAGAGATATCGCTAAATATCTTAGCTCGGATCGTTTGATATGTCTTGACGAGAGAATCGCGCGAAAGACTGGTATTCGGGGTGGATTTCTTATTTTCGCGATTACCGCTCTTGGGAATGTCAATCAACGAGCCAACCGACGGATCGAGCGAGTTTCCGTGTAAAATGGTAGACCTCTGCGGTTTACGCTAGACAATCGAGAAACAAGCCCGCGAGCGGGAACTAATTCAATGAGGTCGATCGAAGCGTCTAGCACGGTGGCTGGCATAATGGCCGGAACGCGATGTACGTTGTCTCCTTCAACTAACAGAGAGAGAGAGAGAGAGAGAGAGAGGAGAAATCACGAAGGCAAAATGCGATGAAAAAGTCGGGATGATATCGTTGCCAGATAATCAATATTACTTCGCGCGGAGATATGATCGTGCGAGAGTGCGAAAAGATTTATTTCGAGAGCGTCGCGATTTCCTTAATTAACGGGCCGATTAAGTATCTATTAACTACATGCAGTCTCGTATTTAATCTGCGCCACCATCGAACCAGACTTGCAGACAGATCAATGGGGGAGAGACCAAAGCGGATAAAGTGGACTGGTAATATTAAACGGAATATTAATGCTTTTTAATTGCGAAAGAAAAAATACGAGAACAAAAGCAAAATGAGAAACATATAAAAATAAACTTCTTAATTGTTATATAATATTTAGTACATGTCCCCGAAAAATAAAAGAAAAAACGTTTGTTTAAGTCGAGAAATATACCATATATAACTCTGTGTGAATATAATCTATTTATATATCGATAATTTATTGTGTCAAGAAATTTTCATCCAGTAATTATTCGAAACCCTCGTCAAGATGCATAAAATATTTAGGAGAATAAAATTTAAATATTCGTGGCTTTAGAATTTTAAACGATCTCTAAAAGGAACATAAAATTGTAATGTGTCGAAGGAAACTTAATAAGTGTCTACATGCGTGTACGTGAGTGCATGTGTGTGAAGAACGAAGAGAATCCCAAATTAAGTTATCTCGGCGCGTTCCGATTTCGCTGAATATGTTACAGCGCGCAAACGCTCGCCAAACGTGGACGGAAACCCTAGACTAGGTTGAAAAAAAAAAAACTCCGAGAGCTTGCATTCGCGAATACGGTGACCCGATTAGGTCAGCCGCGCTTAGATAACTCGCGACGAACAATCGGGGAAACAAACCCGAGCGGGTTACGCTGAAGGGGATGAAGGGAGAGAGCAAATTCAATAAGGCCGATCGAACCGTCCGTTCGGCACGGTAGTCCCGGCATAATGGCCCTGGCGCGCGATATATCCGCGTGCTCCTTTAGGTGGCAGAAACGGGGCCCCGGGTGATATGTCTCGGCTTAGAGCCGCACACAAGTCACGTAGTGGCATGGGACCACCACCGAGTATTATAGCGCGTCCCCTGTCGTCCCCGCAGACGCCGGTCTTTTCCCCTTTTCCTCTCCCTCTCTCTCTCTCTCTCTCTCGTCCCCTTTACCGTGTCGCTCCATCTCCCTTCTTTGCTCTACGTACGCTATTCTCCCTCTCGCGCTCTATCTCCTTCTCTATCTCCCTCCCTTCATGTACATATTACTCAGCGTATAATATGGGTGCTGCTCGCACACCGAGCGGTCGGGTGTCACGCTACGTGCTTCCTGCCCGCAGGCCATAGTGCGACAAAAGGCCTTATGTCCGCCCGCTCGTGGGACACTCGTGATCGCAATGTGTAATCAAGCTCGCATGGCCACTGTATTACCACGTACGCCCACCCGTTGTACGCGTGCATACGCGGCAGTTTCGGTTATCCGTTTCCCGCGCAGGACGCCACCGGGTCCTCCCGTTCATCCTCCTTCCCCTCTCTCATCCCCCGACACCTCTTTGTCTACCGTTGATCGGTTTCGTAACAGCGGCGTCTCGCGATCGACAAATTCACGATCGCTATTTTCGTCATCCGGAGAAACGCGAATGCTCCGGTTTTTTTTTACATTATCGCGAATAAGAGCGGTATCTTTAGGAAATATTTCTCAAATAAATTGCCAAATTTGGAATATAAAAATTATACTGTAATGAGAATGATAATGCATCTTGTCTACGATAGAATTTTACAAGTATGTATCGAAATTCGAGGAGACAGAGAGCGAGAGAGAAGTTTGATTTTTAAGTAATTATTACTCTCCTTCTCGTTTTAGAGAGAAGATCAAAAATATTTTCATTTTAATGGCATATGTTATGTATCGTCTCATCATGATCAATTTATTCTTATGTACACTTGAATTTTTAATTTTAATATTTTTTATTCGTGTTTCTAAGGTTGTGAGATATATTTATACTCGAAAGAATTTCGTCGAAACTATGGTTGCATAATCCATCCTTTTTCAAAGAATGCAAAAATTAATAGCCTTCACAATTTGGCGATCTATAGACATCACTTTGGAAGCTTGTTTCATTTTCGTAACTAATTCAAAGCGAGTATTAATAATTACTTCACCGAAAATCGCTCTTCTTCTCTCGCTAAAAATAAAATTGCCAAAATTAAAAGTTAACGCAATTGTCTGTTGAAAGTAAATTTCTGTGTTAAATGATGAAATTAGGGTAAAAAGATCTTTGTTATTCGTAAAAACATTAATGATTTTATCGATTTTGTGACCGATAATTGCTATACTAATTATCATTTTTATTTCGTTACATAAAAATTTCTGAATAAGAACATTCGTCGGTGCAGATGGAGAGAGTTCGCGAAACAGCTTCGATTTCCGAGCTAAAATCTAGCCGCGAAAACATTTTCGCAATCGCGGTCAAAAGATCGCACGTGAAATTCCGACGACTTCACACAAGTCGACAGACGAAGCTCAAAGAGTCCATAAACTGAGGCAATTTACGATCAATATAGACACGTATGTTTTGACGCGCGACCAGTTTGTGTAAAATTTCGAACGTTCGCGACAGGATTATAACAGACGAGATATGATTAGCACGAAAGATTCGAAATTCCGCTAGGAGAACGCGAAGGAGACCAAATATCATCTACAGCCACGACACTCGCGAAAGTTTCTACAGAAACGCGACGCGTTTTATTTTCAAGCGTCGAAGGATCAGCGTAACGAGATTGCGAGAGATGCAAGCGCATAATAGTATATATTCCGATCTTGTTTGGCGTAAGAGTTGTGCGAAGAGCTGTATCCAATCTTAACTACTTTTATCGATCATCCGTTATATTAACGTAAGATAGTTTCAACAGTTGCCTTACGTCTGGCAATGTCATTGCTTAAAAAGGATCATGGATGAGGGATAATAAATCCTCCATTTTTCGCAACGATTAACTTCTTCGATATTGCGATATTGCGAATTTATTTTTTTATGAATAATATTTTGTAGAGTGAATAATCCTAGGTAAAAAATAGAATTCCAATAAATTTCGAAAGTTAGTTATTGAATGTAACATACATATGTAAAATCAGTGGTTACATTAGTGAGAATTAATTTAAACAAAAAGTTTTTAACAAAGCAAAAAGCGAGGTTTAATTCAACTCGTCGCATCATCGCCCAATGCGTCATCGGCGCAATGCGTTCAATAAATTCCGCAGAGAAAAAAAAGTTACAAATAGAGTCAGGACGAACTATCGCTGATAATGACGCTTTAAAAGAGCACCGCAAACGAGTGCTTTGGATTTTCCAATCCAATCACGCGTTTTCCGTTGTCCACCTACGTCGAATTAAATCGCTAGTGTAAAGAACCAAACGCAACAATCGCGTGTAATCGAAATGGCGGCAATCTCCTTAACACCCTTGGAAAATCGATAGCGAGACTTTTCTCAGACATTTCACGACTCGGGCAATAATCTTAAAATGCGATAACGGAACTTGTGCAAACGCGACTCGTAAACGTACACTCGTCGACGACATCCTCTCGCGTCGCGCGCGAGTTAATCGCCGATTTGATAAGAGAAATTACGCGCCAGCGATAAGTGTCCCCTCGCGAAAGGAAGGATCGATCGATCGAATCGCCGCGGCGCCTTTCGCCAAACGGGCGCGTCGCGTCGGCCCGTTAGGATCCCGTCGGAGAAATCGTCGAACGCTCTCCTCGCGCGAGTCCCGAGTGGCAGTAAGTTGAGAATTCCCAAACGGGCGGGTGTGGCGACCGGCCCGCAACGGGCACCAGAACGGACGCTATCTCTCCGTTCCCCTTCCGACTAGAGAGAGAGAGTTCTCTCTTTCCTTCCCGGGAACAAAGGAAATCTCCAGACACGCCATTCGGAAAATAATTTGGACTTTATCTCCTCGATCCGGGTGCCGTTCGCGCGCATCGATCGCTTATTATACCGAGAAACGTCGTCCCTTCGCGCCCTTTCGCCCCTTAACAGAGGGATCTTTTTCGGCGCAACTTGTGCACGCACGAACCGCAATATAATCGAAACGCAGAGATCAGAAATGTATGGTTAAACGAACGTATACCTAATTAAACGAACGTACGGTAATGCATTGTTCATGTAGATCTTTCAATTATGTAAAATCCTTGCATTTGTGTGATTCTGATATCAATATATTTTGAAACACGAGGTTTCTAACGCGGAATACATGTATGAGAGACCGATTAATAATTTATATATTTATTTACGTAGTATGTCGCTATAACTTCGAAATAGTTTCGCGGCCGATTTTATTTTCTGAAAAATGCGATGGATATAGCATGAATGAAAATGCTAATCAATATGAATTAAAAATCGTGTATCATTCCAACATCGAATGACATAAAAAGTGGATTAAATCGAGTTATTTGCGACGAGCCGATGGATGATCGAGAAAAACTGTTAAAAATGTCATAACTTTGCCAAACGAATTTTCACTGATCACGTTTCGAACGCACGTCACACAAATCCTATGACAATGTTTTCCGCGTATAAAGAAAATTTCCGAGACGAAGTTCCTTGTCTACGATTCAAAGAGAGAAAGAGCAGCATTTTCAGAGGCAAAAAATCGTACGAGCAGCTCGAAGATAATAAATTAATGATGAGAACTCACTTGAAAATCGTCGTCTTCAGCACTGTCACACCAAGATAATAGGCATTGACCGTTTTTTAATGCACTATCAAGATCGGAGCAAGCCCACTCAACTCACGAGACGCTTTCGGAACAAAAGGTCCAAGTTGACAAGGAGGTTGACAAAAAAGGTATAGAAAAAGAAGGAAATCTTGGCACCAATCTGCAACGGAGCGCGGCTCTTCCGTGTTCTCGCGTGTATCCACCGAAAATGCGCGGAGATCAGTGCCGCGTGTCTGCCTGAAAGTGTCACATCCCTCTCACTCCCTCTTTCTCTCTCTCTCTCCGAGCGATGTGCCGGCGAAGATCCGTGAAAGGAGGAAGAGGCGAGAGATCGTCCGCAACACGGTCGCGCGGATGAGCGCTGTCGGACGGTGGCGGCCGCTTCTGTGCTCGCTTTCCTTTTTTCTCGCCTCTCTTCTCTTCCTCTGGGTAACCACCAGCCCGATGATGTTGACGTCGCGCGGCAACGAGGCGAGTATAGGAAGACCACTACGACCAGCAGGAGGAAGAGCGGTGGTAGAAGAGCAAAGAGTGGAAGGTAGTGGCGGGGGTGGGGAGGGAAGGGAAGAGAAGTGGAAGGCAGAGAGTAAGCGAGAGAAACGGAACAAGGACGAAGACAAACAAAGTGTGAGAGAGATAGAAAAAGAGAGAAAAGAGCGAGAAGGAAGAATCGGAGCAAGAACGCCAGTAGACTGGGTTGACTCGGTGGCCGAGCGGTATCTCACCCGCGAAAAGCGTTTCGCGATCAGGTGACAGCGGGAGTACACACCGGCGTTCCTTCTGAGCGAGAGGGAGAACCAACGAATGAAAGAGGGAGATAACGAGAGAGAGAGAGAGAGAGAGAGAGAGAGAGAGAGAGAGAAATCGAAGACGGAGAAGAAGGATTGTCGCGACGAGACGAGGACAGCCGTGTCGCGAGCGGAACGTAGGAGGGATCGTAGAACGGCGCAAAGGGGGGCTAGACTAAACACGTGAGAGAAAAAAGGACGGACGATTGTTAGGAAGGAGGCAGAGTGTGAATGAGGGAGACCCGAGAGAGGGAACGAGATGGAGAACCAACCGACGGAGATGGGTGACGGATAGCCGGTGCGTTCGTCGAGTGTAACTCGACTAGCAGAGAAGGGCGAGGAGAGGCCTCGACGGGACAGAGTGGGACGTGAAGAAACGCCGCGCGCCAGGGACGAAGAGGGAGAAAATTTCAAGAGGGAAAGAGAGGGACACGTGTATGTGTTAGTATATCTGTATAGGTGAGAAAAAAGGACGGGGTCGGAACGATGGTGAGGGAGCCGAGGGACGATACGGCCGTGGGTGACGAGGCCGAAGTGGGGTGCCGACGAGAGAGAGAGAGACGAGAGCGGGGTGGCCGGCAGGGAGGCAGAGAAGGGCTCCCTGATCGCTTCTGAGTGCAAACGGTTCGGCGTGCGGTGGGACACTGGCAAGCAGTCAGGCGGGCGGGCTGGCTGAAACTGCTGTGGATAGCGGGTGGCGAGCGGCGCGGTGCGATACTCTACGGAACGGGACGGGACGGACCGAGAGCGCCGAGTCGGGCCGGGACCCCCAACCAACACAGGCGCACATGGATGGTGCGCGCACACAAGGCCCGGAACGTTCGTGTGTAGTTTGCCACCGACAGAGGCACCACGCGGAGAGACGCAACCGACACAGACGCGCGGTTCACACGGATAGAGTTGGAGTCGAGCTGTCGGACGAATGGTCGGATGCGGGATATCGAGGGAGGAAGGGCAACTAGCAAGGCAGGCAGGCAGGCAGGCAGGCTCGAACGCTATACGAACCTCATGCGTTACTACGCCAACGGCTCTCTCTGTGCTTGCCCTCGGCTCGACTCGGTCTCGCTCGGGCGCCCGCACTAGCCCGATTCTACCCCGTCTCTCTATCTCATCCTCGTCTCGCTCTAGCGTGACTCGTCTCTCAGTACGAGCACTTCTCACTCTGTTCGTTCGGTCTGGCGGAGGCCACACCGCGCCAAGCTTAACCGAGACGAGCCAAGCCGTAACGCGCCACGCCGCCACTCATGCCGCGCCGATGCTCTCTTCCGCAAGTGCGCGCGCGCACAGGGGGGCAACATAGTCGTATCTTTCCTCTCTCTTTTTCCATTGGAAACCCTCTACCTTTCTCACCCTCCCTTCTCGTTCGTCACTTTTTCTTCACCCCCGCCAATTCGCTACCGTCCTCTCTCTGCGGGACGTCCACTTTTCTAAAAATCCTTCGTTCGTCTTAGTAGCCGAACCTTTTCCGAGTATGCTCACCGATTCACTAATTTGTCTTCGCACCATATCTATAGACGCATTTGCGAGAAAAACACAATAGTGTACTGTGTTAGCTGTCTTATTTGCACTTCTTAAAAATTGAATGAGCGAGCGACAGAAAAATATTTTGATGACGGACTAAGAAGAGAAATTCGATAAAAAAAATAATGTCTACTATTGTTACCTACGTCTACGAATTTTGTAAAACATCGATTCATCTGGCGATATTCCAAAAACTGCTTCAGTATCGTAAATTTCAGATCAAAATGTTTCGAATCCCAAATTCAAAGATGATGCAGTCGTTCGCTTCTATTTTCTTTAGATTTGTGAACGTTAACGCTGAATTATTCAACGCACATCGTGTAAGCCTTGCACAGAATCTTGGTCCTTGAGAGGAGATTCGGAGAAACACGCCGCGATAATGTTTCAAATTGAACTCAAAATTTTTTTCGTCTCTCAGATTCGTTGGAATATTTTTTGAATAAAAAATGTTTTGAATATCGAAAGATTACTCTCAAGAAAATTTAATCTAAAATTAGTACTTTATTGCAATTTTACAGTCTCTAATTGCATTAGATTTTCCTCAACTTTTATATATAAATTCATACAAAGAAAAATATCTTAACATCAATATTTAATAAATTTTTAATCATTGTCACATGAAGATTAAATTATGTTAAAATAAATAATTTGTACAAATGAAATTTATCATTGTCAGGCTATTATTGGTACGACATTAACGCATTACAATCACAAAAAGTGACCGCTGCGATTCATTTATCTTCTATTCGAAAATTTGCAAGAATTTCTAGCTTTCTAAAATTTGTTGTGAAAAGCTTAACATGAAAAAGTATGCGCAGGCATACAAAAGAATATTTAATGAACAGGACAGGCCCAAGACCAGGACCTTGGCTTAATCTCTATTTTTTTTCCTGAACATTAGTTCCAGTAGATTGGGGAAAGTAACTCGGTTGAAGAGTTTTTCCCCAAAAAAGAAGGAAACAAAGAGAGAAAACATAAAGAGACTTCAAAGTGGAAACGCATAAAGAATTTGACAAAATTGTAATAAATAACATTTACAACAGCAGATAGGTAAAAGGAGAACGTTTGTCAATTAAAAAGTCACTAAAAGGACCGCCTCGCATAAGTATAGAAAAAGATTGTCGCGCCGAGACGAAAAACGATCACGGGACTATTTTTATAGCTAGAGGTAGAGCATTCCGACCGTCCAATTATTCAGAAGGAGAGAGCAAAAGTTGACTTGAAATTAAAAGAGCGAGAGATCGCCATAAGTGAGAGCGAGCGAGACTAATAATACACAGTAGGGGGCGGTACCCCTTAACACCGGGCACGAGGCAAATAGAGGGACCAACTGTGTTCTATCCTTGTTCGGGATCTATAGGGGTCGAGGATTATTAAAATGCAGACGAAGGACGGGGAAGAAAAGCAGAAGAAGGGGAGAGCGTATAGCCTTCTACTGTTACCGGTGCACAGCCTCTGGAACCGGTAACCCCCCCCCCCTCCCACTACCCCGTGTGCCTCTCACTCTCTTGTTCTGCCTGTCTTTCTCTTTCTCTCTCCTTCATCCTCCCTGATTCGGTATTCAAGTTGGAGCCGCGGTGCATGCTCTCGGTGCATAAAATGCCCCTACAATGATCCCAATCAACTGTGGTACCCATGCGCGCTCAGCAATCAGGACCGCTTTGATGACGGCGGCCAAAAATTCGACATTAATTCAATGAGAGATGCCGCATCGCGGATCGATAACGATCGATCGACGACTCGCTGCCGCTCGTTGTGGATCGCGCGCACGCGAAAGTGGATCATCTATCTTGATCAGCGAACTTGAAAACCGAAACATTCTCGAGTGAGCGTTGAAGTACTCCTTGAACATAAATGCCCTGCGAGAGATCTGACCGAATAAATACCGCAAAAAAAAGTACGAATAACACGCGAGTACATGAGCGATAAAAAAATAATGCATCAAAATTTGTCTATCTACTGTTGGCGAGGCGGTGAAGAAACGCAAAGATCCCTTGCACTTAAATTGACAAAAAATACAAAGCCATTCCAAAAAAGGTCATAAAGTAGTGATGCCTAAAGATCCTAAACCTTCTTTAAACCGTGACAGAGTCAGAAGTACAAAAAAAAGATTAAGAAAGTCATTGTGAAATAGAAGTTTCGAATCCACACCCACTAGTGTTAATATTGTGATATAAATGTCAAAATTTAATATCTTGATTTGAAACTTATAACCGCATCAATCTTGCCGTTTTATTTATGAAAAAGCATGTTTGTCTTGTATGTTTTTTAAATTTTTACTTATCTCAATTTTATTATGGAATGTTTTAGCTACACTGAAAAAAATATTTATGTAAAATTACACGATTAAGCTAGGTTTTTTCCGACCCAGCATAATCATGCAATATTGATATTGTACTTACATGGAAGATTACAGATTATATATGTAATTTCATATTCTCTAAATATTTTCAAGATTAAAAATATTTCACTGAACATGTAATTACACATAGGAAATGTTAGGAATGTATAAATGCTATAAAATAATGTTATAAATAAAAAAAATAGATAAATACTTATAAAATAAAATTCTAATGAAGTAAAAATGGTAAATTTAAAATTACATATGATTTTTGCATAAAAATAGTAATTTTATCTATATTTTACATGTATTTTTACATTAATATGTATTTTCACTTTAAAACAAATTATGGAAACAAAATTACAATGATAAGCAAGTAACTTTTCCAGTTCTGAGCTAGTAATTTCCATGTAAAAGTACATGGATTTTTTTCAGTGTACGTACTTGACTCTTTCGTCTAGTCGTGTTTCCGCGTTTAAAACAAAAATGTGTAATCCTTATGCTCATTAAAAATATAGCAATTTGTGAGAGAAAAAAATGACGGTATAATTTTGATAATATTAATCCTGACATTTTTTTGTAACTAAATTCTAATTTGCAAACGTAAAAAATATGTTGGTATACCTCAGTTTCTTTCAGACTTCAATTCCAACGTAACATTCTCTCGATCGGATTGCATTCGTACCTTTCCACTTAACCATTCAGCTCAATCACGCGTGAACGTTCTAGAGACGATTCGCTTTCCTTAAGCGGGACGGCCGCACAGGCACGCTCCGTCGACGGCGTTTGAAAACGGTCTGGGATACCGTTCTGGGCGACGGGCACAAGCCGACAGTATCAAGCAACGACCACTACGAAGGATCAACACAGCAACGTCCCGTCACTAATTACATTCTCCTCGCGCAATCACGGTCGGCGCGTATATACACACGGCGCGCACGAACGTCACTGCATTACACTATACGCTGCACACGTTGCGAGAGTCGTACCGTCCGCTGGCAAAAGTCCAAATCTCTCGGCAGATTAAAAGCTTCTCTCGAAGATCCTCTTGGCCTGAGTTTCTGCCACGTTTCCCTGGAAAGCCTCTACGGAGCGGATCGGCGCGCTGCGCCGATCCTCTCCCCACTTCTCCGTCCTCGTTTCGACAGGGCGGATGCCCCACGAAATCGAGCGAGTGCACGATAGGGACCCCACGCCCCGGGGGTCCTCTACGTGCAGCGTAAAACCTAAAGCCACTGAGAGTCACCTCTCTAAATTCACGGACTTAAAACGCACAAAAACACCGACTTTCAAAAGCCGGAATAATAAAGGATCTGTTTAACGGTACTCAAATTCTTCTTAATTGTCGAAGAATCTCGCATCGATTTCATTCATAAATTCAGCAAAATTAAATTTACGTGCAAAACATTTGTCAATCTTTACAAGTTTTATAGAATAGGGCGACAAAATTAATACTGGATGTGTTCGGGAAGACGCTATTAGCGCTGACAGCATCATTCTATCTCTGTTCCTCGCTGAAAGTTACAGAGTACGCTCTGAGCACTAAAACTGCGCTCCTCGAACTGAATCATTTTACACAAAGCAAAAAAAGATTATATAGTAAATAGAATTTTGCCATTTTTCTCAAAAATTCTTCGAAATTTCAAAACGCTAAGAGAAAGAAAGAGGGCTCGACTTTCTATTGCTGGAAAGTTTGCATAGAATAATACGTTATTCGAAAGAATACCGTGACTAAAACGTTAACTATAATCCATGAACTATTTTGACTTAAATCGAGGTAAATTCTGTCGACAT